TGTTCTCATGTTCTCATGCTCATGTTCCAATCTTCTAGGAACAATTTTTAAACGTCATCGCTTCTGCATGCATTGTGTGCTGTTTATTTTATTGTGTAGGCAGTGATCTAAACCTTATTTTATAGCCTCCTTTTCTCGTGTATCTAAAAATATTAATTGCTGTTGAGGTGCATGGGAGACTTCCAGTTACAAAGAAAACAAAAAAAAGTCAGAAGTCAAAAGAGTGGCTAATGTCAGAAGGGATACCAGGTTAGAAAGTTTGACAGATGAATTTGAATCTCCAGTATTTTCAACACACAAATCCTTACAGTATCCTTTAGATGCCAACCTCAATTACTACTCATTTTGATCCCCAAAATGTTGCTTCTTGCGGAAAAGCAAGCTCTGGGCCAAAGACTAAGAAAATATTCCAGTAGTTGAATGTTGACAGATCAGCACTACTACACTTAGTCAAGTGATGCTGCAAGATCAATATCACAGAATTGCTCAATCATTGTTTGACTAGTTGTGGTCACCTTCATGGCATAAAAGGTTACCATAGCAATGATACAACTCGTTGAAAACACCCTTAATTTTAGCTTTAAGTGCTTACAGTTAAAAAATGGCCAGTAAGCATTAACAAATTCTTGGGGTAGGGGGCTGGCTCAGATCCACTATTAAATTTTGAAATGCTGAAATGGCCTAGAACCCCCTATGGAATATATTTATCTTACCTGGATGACATGGACTCTGTATCTTCATATATAGATATGTAGTGTTCACAATATTGTATTGTTTGGCATTTTCAAGCCCTTCCCGTTCTGTGATAACGTTCTTACCTAATTGGCTTTCCCTGTGGGCATTTTGGTTTTAGAAATAAAGTGCTTTAAAACATCAGTCTTGCTAGCCCAGTGGGAGTACAAAATGTAGTTGAATGGTACAAATGTTGTTTGGTTAAGACAGCTACCTGTTTAGTGTTTAAAACACTCAAGTTCCTTGAAGCTGAACTCTTCCAACTTTATCTACTTGAAAAGAAGTTGATTTATGTCTTCAGTTTGGTCCTGGTTTCATTGTCTTGGTATAAAGAACAGGACATTTTTTATGTGACATATTTTTAAGACAACTTGGATAATTACTTTTTATACCAAAAGGCTTCAGTTATTATCACCTGTTCAACTCAGGAATCTCTCAAGTATGACCTTCACTAATCCTTGTTAGGAGCTAAAAAGCAACATCTTAAGATCTGGATGGTGTGCCAGGATTTGTTTGTGTAGCAGAGCGTTTTAAGTGAACTTTACGCTTTGACTCTTGTTCTCTTAAAGCAGTCATGGATGACGACTCTTTCTACTTAGGAGCAGTGAAGGATGGAATCTTTCAATGTAAATAAAGTCAACCAACTGTAGATAACACAAGTGTTGACTTGGCACAGCACTTGTGCAAACAAGACCTAAAACACCACTTACCTTCATGTTATCAAATACAAGCCATGTTTGAAGCAACCTTTGAGCAAGCGTTTTCCACTGAATGTTCACTTAAACTTGGTATTACTTCGCAGCAGCAAACTTTGGCAGCTCCCCAGTGCTAAAAGTGTGTTTTCATTCCCGTGTTATCAAGTAAGACTGGTTTACAGTGTTGTTCACTGGTTTCCTGTGTTTGTGATCAATGACCACAGCAAGAGCAGGCTATTTTTAAAAACAATTTTATTTGCTCATGCATGGTTCCAAGGGGTTGGCACCCAACACAAGGCCAGTGTTTGAGACAACCTTATAGCAGGTGTTTATTTTAACTATCACACAATTACCACTCAATTCAATTGTTTGACCATTGCCACAAGATGGAAGAAACTTGGGTCATTGATGCATTAATAGTTAACAGGTTTCTTTATTAAGAATTCATAGTTTGTTAAACAAAGTCTTTTATATATCTAATTTCACTGACTGTTTGAAAAACTGCAGTGATATTTTTGTCGTAAAGTGTATAAGTGCTCTTAGTCAGGGCTGTTATATTGTGCTTGTATAAAGCTTTGAATCACTGTGATTTTCTTTATACTTGGTTCTGAATGCTGTTGGTTTATAGAAAAAAAAATACTCTTCTTGTAGACACCTGCTAAACCAGTGAACTATTAACCCTTTTCTTTTGTGCCAGTGGAGGACTTATAAAGGCGTGAAATGACACAATTTCTAATTTTTTTCTTTTGAGTAAATTAAGATCTAATTTAGGCAGGAGTGCCAATGGCTTGTTAACCTGCCACTGGTTTGATGTGACCTTTTTTAAAAAAGACCAGCACTTAACAGTCCTTTAAAGTGGTAAAGTTGCTACTTGTTAGCCTAAGAAGGGTAACAAAAACACATTTATTAATTTTGTTGGAGAGTAATTCAGTAGCCATGACATTATAGAGATCAGAAACAAAGAAGGCATTGATTCAAGTGAATATACTATGAACTGTGGAGGTTATGAATGATCATGGCAGTTACGAACAAAACTTAATAAGCAGTTGTGAAATTAAAGCCTAAAAGAAATAAAATTTAAGGCTTGAACGGGATTCAAACCCATGACCCTTGCAATCACCCTCGCAATTCCATTCCAGCCTGAATTTTTTTCAGGCTTTAATTTCGCAGCTGCTTAAGTTGTGAACATAACTGCGAGGATCAATCATGTCCTTGTCAAATGTCTCATGACTCAGTTCAAATATATGATCTTTGATATATTCACTTGCATTCTTCACCTTCAATGA